CATGTTCCAAAATTAAAGAATCCCCCTAAATGTCTCTCTTTCTCTCACCCTATCTCTCTCTACCTCTCTCTCCCATACCGACAGCAAAATATTAACATCGAGAAAAGTTCATAGGAGTGAAATCTTACAATGTAGAAGTGCACCTCAAAAAATAAGCTCGCTCCGATGTCAAAAAGTCTTTTATTTTTTCATCTCTCTTTAGACGTGTCTTGCAAAGTATTATCTAGATTGGTTTATTTTTTTTATTTTTAAGTGTTTATAGATCTGCTCGTTCCAAACTATTCTTCATTCCAAATTTCATAATTAAAGTTAAAAATAAATATTAAGGCCGTTATAAGGTTTTTAGCGCCATCTATTAGCTAAATTTAGAGATACACTTCAATTTAATTGTTTAAGGTTGACACCTTATACAAAATTATAAACCACACCCTTTGAAAATTGACAAACATTTTTTTGCAAGTATCCAAGAACTAACAATCAAAGGTGTTTGTTTATACATGGGGCAATCTCATGAGAGTTTTAAGTTCAAAGTTTAGATAGAATTCGTGTTTAAGAAAATCGAATCAAATTGCTTGGTCTTCCAGGTTACCGGAACCAATGGGATGGTCGCAGGATTAGAACTCGAATCAATACTGCTTAAAATATTTGTTTCAGTGTTATACTGAAACAATTTACCCGGGTTTCAATTCCTAGCCATACACACGCAATGGACCCGATTAGACTCGGGGGAACCCGACGTTGAGTTCAGATATGGGATTCGAAATGCAGGTCCAAATCAGGAACTCGCATACAATTCTGGTCCGTGTGTGGGTCCAGCCACTTGAGTACTTAAAGAGCAGTCTAAATCCTCATCTCCAAAATATCAGCTGCCTTGTCAAATCGAAGCAATCCGTACCGTCCATCCTAGTCGTACGACGCATGCAGTTGATAAATGTTCTATTGCAAGAACTGACGGTGTATAGAGCTCCACGAGTATTGATAGAACGATCAGTCCTTGAAATTTCAAATTAACCGATTTGACAGAATTTTTTATTGTAAAAACGCAGTTGAAGTTTCTGTATGTCCTAGGCTCTACGAAAACAAAATAAAGCTTTACCTCAAATGTTTGTTGGCTCAGTAACCAAAATAAATCGATTTCCTAACATCAACAATAAAATTTGAAACTTAAAAAATAGTACAAATCTTGCACATCTATGAACTCTAGGGTGCAATGGACGACCTAAATAATTTATTCCAATATATATTATTTTTAGAGCTTTAAATCCTAAAATTTTTCTCAAACATAATGTTCAATCCGGGAGGATGATGTAAAGGTTTTTCAATTGCAGTTTTCAATGAATTATGAGGTGAGGCTTTACCTATTTTTGATAAGGTTGCAGCCCCGTAAAACCATTTTCCTTCTAATAATTTAGAGAAAAAAGGTCTAGGAAAAAGGCATTCCTAGGAGAAATGCAATTTCTAGGAGGTAAATTTATTTATTCATTTGAACTATTCTGGAAGGTAAATTTATTCCAAAAAAAGTATAAATAAGCAGATAAAATGTAAATAACACCTTCTTCTAAGAAAACCATAAAGAAGGAATAACCAGATGAATAAAACTAATAAAACATTACTCTGAGATACATAATTTTTTCATTCTGATATTTAATTCAGTGTTTAAGAACGAATCTAATATGAACTAGTTTATAATTCAGATAATGAACAAAGATAAACGAAATTATCACGAGAAGTTAGCCTGTTAGTACCAGCAGAATTCCATAAAAATATATGAGAATTGCAGTGCTCAATTATTTGTAGTTATTTTTTGGGTAATTGCTACCTCCACTCCTCTAATCAATATATTACCTGAATTAGTTAATTTCACGGTTATTATGAAATGTAAATGGAGTTATCAATCTGTAATGGCATTTACAGAGATCTAAGACTAAACAAACTAAAAAGAGAAATAAACATAAAAATAACATGAAAAAAAGGCAGTAATTCAATATAGACAAAGCTGAAACCGAAACCGAACCCAAACCATTCAGAATCACAAAAAACAAGGAATTATCAATTGATATATTCTGATGAGAACCAGTGACAGGTGCAAAGAGAATGAAAAACTCCACTCACATTCACAGTTAAACTGGAAAAAGGAAAACTGCGAAATATCAGGAAACAATCAAAGATAACTTGTAATATTTTTAAGCAAAGAATTCATATGCGTACCTTGGAGTTCTGGTTTTCTCTCGACTTCACTGTCTTTGCTCTATCAGAAAACCCTAACCCTTGAGCGATAGAGTGAGATGAACTCAAAACCCTGCCCAAGACCTTTCGAACGGTTATCACACAAACCCTCGAAAAAAAGAGAGGGAAAATGAAAATGTAACCAAAAAGAACATAAAAAAAAACGTTCTGTGTTTTGATTTTCACCTGTTGATCGACTATTTATAGGCAGGTTTTAAGCACAGGAGCCCAGGGTTCGGGAAATCTGAATGGTTGAACGGGAAAATATGAAATCCTATCCGTTCGATGTAATCGCCGCACAATGTTCTGACAAGCAATTAACACCGTCGTATCTATCAGTTTGATCATAGAGTGTATACTTGCTATTTGCTATTTTAAGTGTTCAATTTGGACCCGGTTTCTATGCTAGACGATAAATATATTTTTTAGATATAGTTTGATCCTAATTTTTTGATAATATATAATCTTTTTAAGATGAAAATCATGGATATGAAAAACATAATAATAATAAAAACTAGAAATAATACTTATATTAAAAAAACATTTGGACTCTTATTTACGCTTGTTTTTAGATACATCCAACTTTAAGATGGATTCTTGTTTTTAGATACACCTTTTATTTGCATCCAACTTTAAGATGGATTCTTTATACCTCTGGACTTTATAGTGTAGAAATGCAGTTCAACCCGCATAAAACAATTTTCCTTTCAATTTTGCACTCAAGAAGGTAGAGTCACCATATGAGCGTATTTTGAGTTCCTAAAAGCATTGATCTTTTAGATATGACTGTTCGAAATTGGAGTCAATGTAATGATTTTTTTTTTTTTAGGTTAGTTGTTAACATAAGAAGGCTGCATCCCAAAATTAGGACTCTAAGAACACCATGTTTATCGAGGCCAGACTAACTCTCGATAAGCATGGTTATTTATAATCGAGCACCACCTATGGTTATTTATAAAGCCCCACCCAAGTGATCAACAGATGCCTTCGTTCTTCTGGTAAGACAAGCCAAAAACAAATAAGATGAAGATTTGCTTGAAAACATGGTTTTTGATCTATTATGGGCGCTCAAATTGACTAGTTTTTTACTAGTTAGATTGGCTGAAAAAATTTGAGCAATTAGCTCTATTTTTTTAAAAAAAATGATAAATATCCCTAAATTCAACTTTTAAAATATCTTACACCTCAAAACTTTTTGTACCCTTAAACCCCAATATTGTTTTTTTTATATGGAAAAGTTTATATAAAGATGCTATCTTACAATGTAGAACTACGGATGCCCCTCAAAAATCTATCGAAAAAGGTAGTTTTAATGTTGAAAAATTCTTTGATTGATCATCTCGACATTGAGATGTATGATTATGAAAAATGAAAAGATTTTAAGCCTTAGAAATAGTGCATTTTACAATATATTATCTACACGGTCCTCAAGATTTTCATATGTTTATAAATCTACTTGATTTTAACCATTTTTTAAATTTAATATTTTATAATTAAATATAAAAATAGATTTTGAGATAATCCTAAGAACATTTTACATCCAAATTATATACCATGATAAATTTTGAAGGTGCACCTTACCTCTACACCTACGGATGTGTCCGTATGCAAATTGCACCCTTCTTATATTAACCTGCCGAGTCAAAAAGTCCCTAGATTTATAACAAAAATGCTCTTACTTTCTCTTCCCCTCTATTTTGGCGTCATGTGACTCTCTCTCTCTCTCTATTTGCCAACACTCTCTAGCCCAAAGTAAAAACTCATTTCTCTCTTTCTATCTCTCATTTTTTTTTCTTCTCTCTCTCATTCTCTCTACCTTTCTCTTTCTTCTCTCTCTCTTCCTCTCCATCTTTGTCTTTTTCTCTCTAACTATGGACTAAGATTTTTGCAATCCGACACCGGTTATAATTTGGGGTAAGGCTGGTAATGTAGTCCGACATGCATTGTGCTGGATCGAAACTTTTTTGCGGTCCGGCACAAAAAAATGTGTTGAAGCGCAAAAAATTTCGGTGTCAAACCGCTTTACAAGCCTAAGAAAAGCTTACTGGAATTCAATATGGTTCGGCACCTTGTGTGTTGTGCCGAACTACATTACAAGTTACATTACTGGAACTCAGAGAGAGTATGATAGAGAGAATGAGAGAGAGTATGATAGAGAGAATGAGAGAGAGAGAGAGAGATTAAGAGAGAGTGAAATGGATTTTTACTTTGGCAGGGAGAGAGTGTTGGCAAAGAGTGAGTTAGAGTCAGGTGACCCAAAAATAGAGAAGAGAGAGAGTAAAGGTATTTTTCCCTTAGATCTATTGATTTTTCTACTTGAGGTGTAAATATAAATAAAAACAATATTAAAGTTTATGGTGGGATACAAAAAAGATTTGGGAGTAGGATGTCTAGAAAGTTTATTTTAAGGGGTATTTATACTTTTCCATTTTTTTTATTCTTGAAATATAATCTAACTTATTTGACTAATGGCTTGATTAATTTTAACACGACTACACCCTTCACTAATTCGATGCCCAATATAATTTTGATAACATTCTCTAAAAGTACTCTCATAGGTAGGGCTCTATAGGACATTTTCACAAAATATCAATCTGAATCCGAATCATGTGATCCAGAATTTGCATTGGTGGGAACCGACCCATTTCTTGATTGGAACTGAGAATCGGGTCGATTCTCACATAATTGTTCGACTTGTTGAGGGAATCGGCTGATTCGGTCACAAAACCAAGAGATCCGAATTACTCAGTTCCCACAATTTATATTTTTATAATTTTTATTTTTTTCAATTTTTTTTTTGACTGATTCTCACTTAGGAGAATTAATCGGATCGTTGATCCAAACCAATTTCCTGGACGGTCGGTTAGCCCTGTCGATCCGGGTTTTAAAGCAGTGGTTCTACCCAAGAGATTGAGAGAAAGAATTATGACCTCAATTTTGTATTAATTTGATTGAGAGAGAAAGAGAGAATTGTGACCTGAATTTTTTGTATTGATCTGATTGATTGTGAGAGTGAGAGAGAGAAAAGTTCCATGTACCTATTTTGATGGTAAAGTTCAGTAAGTGTCTGAGTTGCTTGTTAGATCCCAACGAGCGTCAAGGGCGCCCAATTCGAGAATTAAACGGAACCATAACTGGTGCGGTCAAATACGATTAAGTACTGGATGAGCTTTTCATAAGGCCTAGGCTCTATGAAAGCAAAATAAAGCTTCACTATAAATCTTTGTTCGGAAAGCACTTTCGATAAAGAAAATGTCTAAGATGGCTCTAAAATCAATTTTCAACATCAATAATAAAATTTGACACAAATAAATATTACAAGCTTTGTGGATCTGTGAACATTTATTTTTAGGGCGAAATGGATGGTCTAAAAAAATTATTACAATATGCACTATGTTTTACAATTTGAAATCCTAATTTTTTTTTTCACATCTATAATATTCAAGTCGAGATGATCGATGTAAAGGTTTTTCAATACTTGAATTGTAATTTTGAATGAGTTATAGAGTGAGGCTTTATTTACTTTGATAGAGCTACAGCACATGCAAAACAAAAACCGCACCCCCAATATACATTCCCATACTAATGGAGCCAATCCAACTGAAAGGGTCTTTCTCACTACATGACCGGTTTCTCCCTTAAACTGATTTTACTTTTGTACTCTTAACCTTTTGAGCTGGATATTGTGTTTCATTTGTGAAAATTTGGTGGGTTTATGGGTCTCTCCTAAAGAGCCTGGAAAATTATTAAGGTGTTTAAAATCAAACTATTTTTGTCAAGAAAGTCACGGCTTTCTCATATGCCATTGTTTGACGATATAGATTGTTGGATTTTCTTTTTATTGCATTACTTCAGGATGTAGCACAACTGCCCTATTCTAAAATTATAAACTTATGAGTTGCACTTTCTTTTCATTATTAATAAAAGAAAGGGTAGGGGCGGGCTCCTTCCCCACTGACTCCCCCCGCCCCCCCCCCAAAACACAAAAATCAAACTATCTAGCATTAGAACAATGGGAAAAGTTTATATAAAGATGAGGCTATAAACAATCAAATTAAGGTGCACCTCATAAATTCAGTAGAAGAGGTTGCTTCGATGCTAAAAAATCTTCAAATTGAACATGTTGACCTCAAGATATATGGACATGAGAAAAAATAGATTTCTAGTAAAAAAATAGTGCATCTTTTAATACATTTTTGGGATTGTCAATTTTAAGATTTTCAAGTTTGTTTATAGATATGCATGATTAACGCTATTTTTGGAGCTTTAAATCTTATATAAGAGATGGCAATAAATTTTCAGGCCATCACAAATATTTCCAATACTAAAATATCTTTCGACAGAAGGTGCGCTTTACTTACTTTGATCATTTACAAACCACATCCTTGGAACAATTACCATCTAAGATTTCTCTCACTAGTTACCTCCACCCAATTTTTTTTTTTAATCATATCCAAATTGCCCTTAATCCAAATGTGAAACCCTAGAAAACCTTTAACCCAAATGTGGAACCCTAGATATCCGAAGTCAGTTTGGTATCTTATGCCCACTTAAAGGGCTCAAGCCAAATATATATATATATCTAACATAACATTTAAATATATTTAAATAGATTATTATTTTTGGATCGGATTCGGTTCCAGATTTACTGGGGTATGGATCCAAGTCCAATTACTTCAGGTCTGGGTTTAGGTCCCAACTTGTTTTTTCGGGTCCATGTTAGGGTTCAAGTTCAGGTCAGGTCGGACCCGACCCATCCCGATGACACCCTAGACCCAATGAGCTGTCCTTCCTAGGAGAGTAGTTGATGCCTCATTCCCATTCCCTATTGAACAGTCTCTCTCTATTGAACTCTCTCTCGAGTAGTAATTGGGACTTATCGTTACTATGAACAACTTTTACTTTGAAGAGAGAAAAATTATGAAGGGTTTAGGGTGGGGAGGAAAATTCTCTGTTTCGCTTGAGTAGTAGTGAGGAACGCTAGAGTATTAGCAAAGGAATTCATCATCATAATTTTTTTCCAATTGATTGAGGTCCGCTTAAAAATCGCTTTACTAGTAATAATGAGTAAAGTTCTCTTGCTCCTTATGACGGGTAACATTGGCAAATCACTCCCTCTGTGAAGGGAGGGACGTGGTGACAAACTGGAATACCACAAACCCAATGAGCTCTCTCACTGTCGTTGTTACAGAGGAAGGGAGCAAGTGACAAACAAACTTGTTTACCATATTTCAGTGAATCCAATGAGCTTTATCCTTCGTACAAGAGAAGTGGACGTTGTTGGGATGTGAGCATGTGACAATCAA